AGTGGAAGCTTGTGCGGCGGGGGCGGGGGCGGGTGAGACATCGGTTGGCCCTGCGGATGCGACTGGGCTATGGACGAGATCAGAGTGGGCTGCACCAGCCACTGCAGGTCCTGGCTTGTCGTGATGGCAGTGACTGTGGGCACGAAGGAGCCTGGCATCTCCCCGAGGCCACTGCACTCCTGAAACACAAGGGCGCAGAACGTGGTCAGGGGTGGGGCAGGAAGAGGACTCCCCTCGTGCCAGCCTGTGGCAACCGGTGCCCAAGACCGTCAGACCTCATTTCCCCCAGTAACCCAGCAGCACCCTGGCCACGACCCAGCTGGGAAAGCCACCCACGGCGCAGGAGAACGCGTATCCTAGCCCCCGTACAGCCCGCCTGCCAGCCAGCGCTCACCACAAGCACGGTCAGGCCTGACAAAGGCCAAAGCCATGCAGTGAGTTTCACATGCCTCTGACCATTGCTGGTGAACGGCCAAGCCCTATGCTCTGCACTGTGCAGACATCGCCTGGGGGGTACCAGCGCCCCCTGTTAGCTGAGCACCTACCCAGGAGAGATTCACATGCCGCCCAGCTGACTAGCAGAGCACCCACAGCATGTTTCTGCTGGTGGTGCACATCTGCACATACTAGGGTATAACATTTATTCTGCACATGAATGGAAAAAAATTAGAGGGAGTATTGACCCATATCCCATCAGGATAGCCCATGGCAGGGGGGCAGTTAGCAACAGCTGGGGCAGCTTAAGGTGGGCACCTGGGCAGAAAGAACTGGGCTGAGACCCACCACATCCATTCCACGCTGGCCCTTCAGAGCAGGAGCTCCGCTACTGAGATAGAAGCACTCACCAGGGCCCACTTATTTGGACAGGGGTCCCCTGCTTTGTGCAAGTAGCCCTGGCTCCTGAATTACTGACTGTAGGATACTAGACCCCAGGAAGCCCAGACCAAAAGACTCAGTTATAAATGGCTCTGCAGAGCAGGCCGCGGTGCACATCCGCACATGCCATGGCACACACCTTTATTCCGCACATGGACAAAAAACAGTTAGAGGGAGCATTGACCCATCCCATCAGGATAGCCAATGGCAGGGGGCCAGGGTGGTGACCCCTCTATAGGGGCTCTGGCAGAGTTCACTCCCCTCCCTTTGTGTGAGTCTCACAGGCAGGTTGGAGGAGGCAGTGGGGCTGCTCCATGCAGGAGCAGGAGAGGCATTTGCAATTCCAGGATTTGGTCTCGCTGGGGAGTCAGAGCACATGAGGCAGCACTTAAAAGTAAGACTCCCTTCTCTGCTGGGGGGGGGTTGTCGGGTCCTCTTGGGGACCGGAGCATGGGGACTCCCCTCGCAATAACTCAAAGGGGGTGTCTCATTGACTGTCTGTGCCACCCTTTTAGCTGCAATTTTTCAAGCCATCCCCACGCTGACACTATGTTCCCAGCCTCACCCTGCTTCCCCTCCCTCCCTCCCTCCACACGCACTCACTCTGGCCCCATAGAAATCAGAGCTGGAAGAGACCTCAGGAGGTCGTCAAGTCCAGCCCCCTGCTCTAGGCAGGGCCAATCCAACTCAATCAGCCCAGCCAGGGCTTGGTCAAGCCGGGACTGAAAAACCTCCAGGGATGGAGATTCCAGCCCCTCCCTAGGGAAATCCATCGCAGTGCATCACCACACTCCTAGGGGGAGTTTTTCCTAATATCCAACCTGACCTCTCGCCTCATCCCTGGGGCTTCCTGGCCAGGGCAGTGCTACAACCCTCCCCCCCCCCAAAGAGGCTGCCCAGCTGTTTCCTGCCCCAGGCTGGTGCAGGAAGGGAGCAGACTCTGGGGCAGGGAGCCTCCCTCTTGGACCCACAATTCCGGGCGCTTGTCTCCATGCACCAGCTGGTGGGGGGCAGGGGGACCCCCCCAGCCCCCCCAGCTCAGGGGCATCACTGACCCTCCCAGCAATAAGGGGTGGAGCTTACGGCTCCCCC